AGGCCAATATCGTGACTGATGCCCCTATCGACCGGTAGGCGGCTCGGCACTGCTGCTGAAAACACATCACGGTGTTTCCACAGAACATCATAGAACGGGCTGTCCTTCAAGGCACCTCAGCCTTGAGCAGCGAACCGTTCTTCTTGTCGGTCTCCAAGACGCTCTCAACAGTCCACCACGTTCTCTTCTGGAACTGGTGCGACTATCTCTTGGATCTTTCCTTCCTTTAATTCGAACAGGAGCAGATCCCACGTCATCTCCGAGAGATTTACTATCTCCTCGGCAGATGCCAAGACAAATTGGAGCACCTCAACTGAGGATGCCTCCGGCATCTTGCCTTCGACTGCCTCGAACAACTCGTTTGTAGGTACGTACTCATAAGCCGGGACCGATCCAAAGGTCACTCGTTTCGACGTGCCCTTGATCGTCTTAATATGTCTGGTGCTCGTTCATCGAGTCACCACGATCTTTGACTTGGGAGAAGGTGTCGTTGCTGTATTAGCCAACGCACTCCTTCCAACCGCACCAGGCTCATGACTCTGTGTCGGTTCTTGTGGCGCTTGACTTGCTGTCACCCCACCATCATATGCCACAGGCTCTCGGCTCTGTGCAAGACTATTGGATGCATGACCACCTGTCATCGCCCCATTCACTACACCAGACTTTTCGACCTGGTTAGGAATATGTGTCACCTGACTTTCTGTCCGTGCACTTCCAACTACACCACTCCTTTCGAGATGGGTAGTTCCTGGTGTTGATTGACATACCGTCATCGCACCCTCGACTGTGTTGGAAACAGCATCAGCCACATAAGCCTCTCGCAAGAGCACATCCTTTCCGGTGTCTTGCGTAGAGCTAGCGACTGTACGTGTACGCCAGTCTATCCATGGTTGGTGTTTAGCCAACCAAGGCATGCCTAGGATGAGGTCATACGGACTTTCCATACCTAGAACTGTGAACTTCTCCTTACAAGAGAAGTCACTGAAACTGGAGGCGAGTTCAATTTGGACTCCCTCCGATTTAATGAGCGCGCCGTTAGCTAAACGAACGATCGCCTCTTCTCGCTTGCCATCCTGGCAAAGCGACTCATAACTCGCCGGACACTTTTTCAGAGGAGCCGCAACTTTCACAAAGTTTTGTGATGCACCCGAATCCACGAGAGGGTCATCACTTGGTCATAGCCTCGTACTCGAGCGCTATAGACCAAAAGGGTTGAGTTTCGACCTTTCGGAACCTCAGGGACTATGCTACCCATTTGTTCGATCACTCTGAACTTAGGGGTATCTTCAGAGTCCGCGATAGTAGGGCATCCCGCCCCTACTGCGCTCCCGCATTTCCCGACTTGTCGGGGGTCGAATCTGAACCCATGCGACGTGAACGGTTCTTCGAACCATCCTTCGGGTTGGGAGACCTTTTGCTGGGCGCCTTGGCCCCAGCAGCAAGTTCGGCATAGCAGCGATCCATCATATGGCCTCGCTTGCCGGACTTGTAGCAGATTACATCTGCATTTCCTAACTCCATAGGAGTGGCATCAGACTTCTCAGACGACGGCATGTAATAGGCTGTCGCCAAGGCGCTGTTGTAGGATTGATCCTCAACTAAGGCAATGTCAATTGCCTCTTCCATCGTCGCTGGCACCTTTCTAAAAAGGGCCTGACGCGATGGGCGGTGCCTAAGTCCATTCATGAACTTGGCCACCTTGATACGTTCCGGTATCGGTTCCCCATTAATGGACGCCGACAGCGAACGCATCTCCTGCACAAATTCTTGCAGAGAGCGTTTCGCCTGTCGTGCTCCAAAGAAGCTCGCCATAAGAAACACTTCGTTGTTAGGTGGCTGGTACATGGCGCGAATCTTTGTTTTTAAGATCGCCCATTGATGGAAATGCATCAGCATTTGCCATCAGCGCAGAGTATGCCCACTCTGACGCTTTGCCACGCAAGTTGGACATGGCATACGACACCATTCTGGTGTCGTCTTTGATGAGCTGCACCACTCCACATTGATCAACTGCTAATAGCTAGTGAACAATCGTAAGAGGGCTAGTTTCATCGAACTTCGGAGGGTCCATCCGAATGGACCTCGGTTGAGTAGGCCGGGCAGAGAGCGTCTCAACAGTTCTGTTGAGCACCTCATTACGTGCCTGCTCAAGCCTAAGCTCATCCTGAGTCTTAGTGATGGACTCAGCGGTGGCTTAGTTGTTTACCTCGGACGGGTTTCTACGCTGTCCGAGCACAAACGTCTCAAATTGCTCCAACTGAGCAACATGTTGCTCAGGAGGAGGTTGACCAGGGCTTGTTCACCAAGTACCTGCGCCATATGCTCTTCCAACTCCCTATGATGTTGGGAGAGGTGAGGGAAGTCACTCCCATCCATATTAAGGACCATCTTAACCACACACACGCTCAGAGAGACGGGTCGTGGGAAGGACTACGAGTGCTACCAAGTGTAGACGGGCACTTCTACGAAGCTGCCTCGTGCTACTAGCACACACCCTCAGCAAAAGCGAGGAAGCAGTTAGACCGTCTTACCTTCGCGTGCGAGGGTGGTTATGCGGTTGATCGACTGCTTAAGCAGTCGTACACCAGTTGCCTCTCGCTTAAGCGAGAGTGCAACGAACTTCTAAGACAAGAAGGCACCGACGTCACGTAGAAGCTTTTCAGCTTCTCGTGCGTGGTGCTTCGGTGTTTAGCAAATTCAAGACTGAGCTATATTATAATTACATATAAACTTAACTACTGATTGGCTATATATGTATATAGATCGGATACGCGACTCTTTAGAAGCTTCTCCTGTCGCATGAACTTAAATCTAGATTAAAGATCGCAACTGACGTCCTTCTGAGACGTCGCGATGCCTAGCTTCAACTAGCGTCATCCCTTCCCATGTGAATTTATAAATGGATATTACATTCACGAGGGTGGATCACATTTGTATATCGCACCCAAGTGACAGGTCAAAAGTAATGATGGATACTTTTAGACCAAACATTAAGTATACTACTTTATGTTTACGTGTAACTACATTTGAATTATCTGAGCTGTAAATGGCTGAGTCAGTTGTCTAGGATTTAGTAGTTTTGTAGCTGTAGCGGCTCCCTTCATTAAATGGTCAGCTTTTATGCATCGTTTTATCAAGATAAAGGTCCTTACGTCTGATCCTAAACACTGCACCGAGAAAATGTTCAGGATGGAGATTAAGTGACGTGCTAAATGGACTGAAAGTGATGTTTGCGCATCGAAGCACGAGACTCACCAATTTGCTCGACAAACCACCGACATTGTCTAGGTGAGTAGCGACGGGTCGATTCACACGAGCACTTTCTTTCTTGTTATGTGACAGTTCCATATTTAATCGAAGAGCTGTCACCTGAAGCACATTAGCAGATGGGTCGCGGTACTAGACTCAAATTAATTTATGTAGTTGAGAGCTGCAATCAATGGCAATCTGGGTACAGATTTAGTGAATACGATGCCTAAATGTCTATAGCAAAACTCTTGTAGATTCCGTGGAAGTGTACCGGTACAACTGCAAAACAAGATCGCTTGTTTGACAGGTCTGTATCGAAACATCGTGAGAAGTAGCTTTCGAGCATATATACTTGAAGACTGGTGAGGTTTCAACGAACACTCCGTTATCCAATATCATTTTGAACATGGACTTCGTACCTCACCGTAGTGAACCATTGTCAGACCTTGTATTGGCTCAAGCGCCAAAATCAACAGGGCTATGTCCTCGTTCGTGGTTTGCTTCAGACAAACAGAGCTGGAAGGTGCACGCAAAGGAAGGATCTAAACACGTGCCGATCCACCTTCAGACCGGCATCATTGATAGCTACTCAACAAAACTGTTCGTGTATTGCATCGGATAATGTGCGAATAACAACACATTCGATCAACCGATCTACTAGGAATCTTTACCTTTGGCGGCGAGCGCGCGTTCCAGGTCGGCGATGATGTCCGGCAATCCCTCGATCCCAACGGATAGGCGGATAAGGCTATCGGAGATACCGATCTTCTTGCGGACTTCAGGGGGCACGGAAGCGTGGGTCATAATGGCGGGAGACTCTGCCAGCGACTCGACGGCGCCAAGGCTCTCAGCCAGCGTGAATATCTCAAGGTTCTCAAGGAAAGTGCGCGCTTTGTCGAGACCACCGTGCACGTAGAACGTAACCATGCCACCAAAGCCTGACGCCTGTTTCTTGGCGATCTCGTGCTGCGGGTGCGACGGTAAACCTGGATAACACACCTTTTCAACGGCAGGATGTGCCTCTAAGTACTTTGCAACAGCCTGAGCATTCTTGGCATGGGTGGCCATGCGCACGTGCAATGTCTTCAGACCACGGAGGGCCATGTAGCAGTCAAACGGGGCGGGAATTGCTCCAATACCATTCTGGATGAAGCGCAACTTGGTGTTAATGTCCTCCGAGTTGGTAATGACGACTCCACCAACTACATCACTGTGTCCATTGATGTACTTGGTGATACTGTGCAGTACAATGTCAGCCCCTAATGTAAGTGGATTCTGGAAATAAGGTGACATAAAGGTATTGTCGACAACAAGAAGCAACTTGTGCTTTTTTGCAAATTCCGACACGGCACGAATGTCGGTAATTTTAAGTGTAGGGTTCGTAGGACTTTCAATCCAAATGAGTTTCGTCTGTGGACGAAGTAGCTTCTCGACCTTACTCAGATCTCCAAAGTCCGTAAAGTCAAAGTCAATACCATATGTTGGGTTCACGGTCTGGCGGAAGTACCGTTGGGTGCCACCGTACACGTCGTCAATGCATAGCACATGGTCTCCGTGCTTGAGCAGGTGTGTCACGGCCGTCGTAGCGGCCATGCCGGACGAGTAGCAGACAGCAAAGCGGCCTTTCTCACAGGCAGCGAGAGCACGCTCGAGGGCTCCACGAGTGGGGTTGCCTGTACGTGAGTACTCCCAACCTTTGCCAAACGAATTGGCCTGGCTGCGACCAGCTACGACGCCGGGAGACGACTGTGCAAAGGTGCTAGCTAGCGTGATGGGCACCGCTACAGCACCTGTGTACTCATCCGGTGCCTGGCCCTCGTGAATTGCCGTCGTGCCAAAGCCGTGGTGCTCGTCAACGTATTTAGAAGCGGCGCTACTCATAATGAAAATTTCTGTTTCGTCACTTGAGCTTGAAAAGGCAAAATGAAAACTGACGTCTCGTGTAAATGAATGGTAGGAATGAATGTCGCCCACGATCTAAGATTTCGTTCGATCTTCTGGATAGCAAGAGTTTTACGTAAACACTCCGTCGACAGTATCTCGTTTATTACGCAATCCCGTGTCTGACACCAAGCGAGCTTGGACCAATAAACGCAAGTTTTGGTCATGCGTGGCAACTCGATTGTAGATTCCTCCAATCAAAGCGCAAAGCTCTTTGTTAGGCAGTTGTATTATAACTTTAGCCTTAAGAACGTTGGCTGGCATGCTGCATCATAAGATGGCTTACAATAATGTGTCTGTGAGATTGTAACGAACTGGTCTGACCTCTTCCTCGATGTATTCTTGTTTTATACCATCCACAAACGCTATACTTTTCTGCTATCGGATGCTATGCACGCACTGGTGTCATCTCATTTAAAGTTAAAACTGCAGCCAACTTGGCCCCAACAGCGCCGAATCTTGTCTTTAGTCTATAAGCATCGGTATGGATGCCATCACGTTTTCCATATTTGTTTTCAAGCACAGCTACAAAGTCCAAAGTGTTTGCAGCTTCTTGGTCTCGCACAGATACAATTTCTCTTCACCGTTCATGATTTTGTGCCTCGCATTAAAATACGCATTTTCATCAAATTCCACCGAATGAGTCTGTCGAGGCTTCTCCAGTGCTGCGTGCATGTTTAGGATTACATGCTCGCTGCTCCGAATGTCTCCTTTCAGTCAGCCTCATTGACCACCTGTATGTATTACATGCTTATATGTCAAATTACAAAGCAAAATTCGGTCGTCATGAACCAAAGGTGAACCGCACTGGGTCTCACCTAAGCAGCGCCAGCCGCCTTGAGGTTTTTGTAAGTTCTGCAATACTGTTGATAATCTCTTGATGTCACGAAACACGCGTATAAGTCATAGACTTGGGCATTTTGCTATTGAAATTAAGGGGATTCTTACAAAGTTATTAGGCTGAGTGAGACACTTGATGATTAAAAAATATGTTGCAAACGACTGCTACGACCTTTATTAAGATTATAACAGTCATTAACATGAGCTTTAATTCCATATAATGTCTACCTATTTACATAGTAGTTTGTTTTTGACCAATCAGATTCATGCTCTGCGACTGCCAGTCATACCATCATAGCATTTCATCATTGTCAGACTGTAGCCATTATGCGCGTCTTAGTAGGTGACGAGACTGGTCTGCTCAAGTCTATCGAGTTGGAGAAGAACGAGCAGCGCATTCTGTCCAGTATAACACATCCTCAAGCTCGTTCTCGAGGCATTCAACGTCTCTGCTGGTACGCGGACAAGGCCAATTCTCAGCGTAACGTGGTGTTGGCTCGAGCCGACGGTGTCGTGGAGAGCTACGAAGCGTCTCATGGCAAGAGTATAAGCACTAGGAAGGAACCTGATTGGTCCTGGCCGAAGCAGGATAACGATAAGGAAACAAGTAGTTGTATAGGACTTGACGTGGTCCAGAAATTTGGTTCAGTGGTGCAGTGCGCGGTCAATGGCGACGTGTTAGTGCGCGGCACGCTGCAGGACGCAGAAAAACCTGCCGAATTTAATGTTGGTGGCGATCTGAACATGATGAGACTTGACTCTGCAACGCAGACGGTCATTGGGGTAGGTGGCAAGGAACACGATCTGAATCTGTGGTCGTTAGAGACACAGCAGGTCCTTTTCAAAGCCAAGAACGTGACCCATGATAAGCTGGATATGCGAGTACCTGTGTGGATTAAGGATCTTCGATTTCTTTCTGTGCCTGGCAACAGCAATGGTCACCGAGTTGTGGTAGGCACAGGCCACCGTCACGTCAGGATTTATGACTCCAGCACCAAGAGACGACCAGTGCAGGAGCTCGATAACTTTGGTGAGAATCCTATCCAGTCACTGTGTGTGTCACCTGATGAGATGCGGGTGTATGTTGGTGACACAGCAGGAAACTTAGACATTTTAGACTTGCGGACGCTCAAGCATATGGGGCGATGCACGGGACCCGTGGGCTCCATCCGCGACCTCGCGTGTCATCCGACGCTACCGTACATTGCGGCGGTGGGGCTGGACCGCATGGTGCACGTGTTTGACGTCAATACGCGAAAGTACCGTCACACAATCTACGCTAAGCAGCGTCTTAACAGCGTTTTGTTCTGCTCTGACGGGCTCAAGGATATCCCAGTTGCTGATGACGAACCTGCACGGAAAAAACACAAGGCGGGTGATGAAGAATTAGACTTTGTTGATGACGACGAGGAAGAGGAGGAAGTATATGAAGGTCTTGAAATTAGCGAAGAGGAGGATGACGATGATGATGACGATGACGATGACGATGATAACGATGATATTGATAATGACGAAGAGGACCCGGAAGATGACAGTGATTGAGCAAGTATGTAGATTTTCGATGCGAGTGTACGTAGTTGTCGATAGAATAGATAGCTTTTGCCAGAACGAGTTTAAGCATAGCTGACGAGCGCACGGGCAGGATGGATTATACCACGAAGTAGTGTTCAATCCACTTCTTATAAAAAAGTAGTGTGCTTTCGCATAATGTACAAGACCTCCAACGTCGCATTTGGATTGACATCATAAGGTCATAAGATGATAACGAGTTACGTTAGCGCCAGTACGTACTGCGCTTGGTACGTCTCCACCACGGTGATAAGGTCCACATCATTGTACGGCAGGCAAAGCACATAGTCACCTAAGAGAGTTCCAGGTATACCATTTCGCGGTATATCTGGAAAACGTAGTAAGTAATTGTTTGCCAAAAGTGCACAGGGCGCTCATTGTAGCCGTGCTGCAGTGCAACATGATGAAGTCGAAGCATTTCTTGAGATACGAGCTTTTTTGCCTCGCTGGACACCAAATCACCAGAAATAACTGATGTCTGGTTTCGACGCATGATCTTGAGTAACTATAGCTTTTGCGTAGCTACTGTACTCCATTGAGTCCAAAGCGAATGGGAACCAGAGCATATTTTCTGACAAGTATTGACGAGCAGAGCTCTTAAAGCTCATGCCATTGCAGCTGCATTGATGTGGTCAGCGTCGTGCTTATACTGTGCTGCTTCATCAGCATTCGATCCGCGAACATAGCTTGCACTCACAACAGCAGCACGAATCGCGTCCACATGCAGCATCAAGTACGTCGGTCATTTCGTAGCTTCGGAGTCTTAGAAAGCATGGAGCAGACGGCCTTAGCAGCTGATACATGTGCCATCAGTTATATAGTACAACAGGTACAACCTACATGGATTTCGAGATACATGACACATAGCGAAGTTCATCCGTTGACAACGTTTGAGCTAAGATTGTGAATCTCTTACGGCTGGGTGTATGGCACTTTAACGTTATTCCAATCGCACGCATCCGCCATTATGCGCGCCACCTCGACGAATGTGCGCTCGTCCTCTGCCGAGAATCCGTTCTTCTGCGGGCAGTCTAGATCAATGAGAGCGATGACGTCTCCCTGCTTGCTCAATACAGGAACCACCAACTCGGATTCCGAGGCATCGTCGCATGCAATATGACCGGGGAATTCATGCACGTCCACGATACGCTGCACTGACTTGGTTCTCCATGATGCTCCGCACACGCCGCTCTGGTACCGGATACGACTGCACGCAGGTTTGCCCATGAATGGTCCGAGAATCAGGATGTGGTCGTGGTCCGTCACCTTGGGATTGGCAAGAGGTCGGAAAAAGTAGAATCCCACCCAGTTAATGGGACGTCCGGCCTCCACGAAGGCGTGCCAGATGATGGACGACACATTAGCAGTGTTGGCTATGTAGTCACGCTGGCCAGTGGTGACAGTGAAGGCCGCAACGTCACTCAGTAGCTCCTCAGCGTTGATCGGCGACAGGTAGTTGTGCAGCTGCGTCTCATCGGGACAGTCCGGACTCCAGCCGATCTGTTCCACCAATGTGTTGACGCAGTCCTTTAGTTCACTCCCCATCGTGACATTAACGACTTGAGTACCATTCTTGAACACCGCAAGACTCGATTGTGTAAGCTCACTCGAAGGCGACTGCACTAGTGTCTGCAATGTCATTAGTCATTAGAACCTCTTCACTCTTGCTATTGTAGTAAAGTGGCGTACAATATCGTCGCGGCCGCGGAACAGGAACGCGATGGGCACAAGAAGTTTTTGTAGCTCTCGCTTTTGTTTGCGGTCGGGCTGTTGGGGCAGGAAGAAAACCACTACCGGTTTAGTTGTGGACTTTGCGGCAAAGTTCGTGACATTGTCCTGCACGGTAGTGAAAAGCTGCAGAGCGGCGTCCAATGGAGTCACTTGCACCGTCATAGTCCTCGGTCTGTTGGTGTGAATCTGAAAGTGACGTCAGCTGAGACTTGCAGCTTTGTGGTCCTTTTTGCGTTCGTGTAAAATGGAAGTCTCAACTATACACGATTGTGTCTGCAATGGTTATTGTCACTGCGTCGGACATGAATCAGCAATCGTCAGAGCTGATGAGTCTTCCGTGTACTGTTGGCAAAAAGGACACGGTGCACGCGATGTAGCATAGGACTCAATGTCTGAGACTGCTTACTGTCATATATGAATGCCATCTATTATATATCGTCATCTATGCTGGAGTGCACACACCTTACTATGGTACGCGCTTTTCATTTTCTCGTATGTACTCGCACCGTTGGGTTAATGCCAATTTGCTATCGCGTGAGCGGCGTCTGCTGTAGTTCTGTACGTAACACAGCCAAATGGCATCGTTCACAGCTGACGTCATCGTTCGTAGGTATGACACAAACCTTGTAACTTGCTAACGGGTTCATCCTCGAATCAACTTAAGACGTTTTTTATGAGCGACTGTGTGATGATCGGAAGCGCCACGGCCAGGATGTCGATATCCGGGTCCAACTTCCTGCCAACTGCCTCTAAGACTGCAATGGAAACGACAATTGACGCGTATTTCCCCTCGAGTTGCACTTCGTGTGTGCAGCATAACTCCATGACTTGGCGAAGCAGCGATCCAACGTGCACATTCTTTAGGTTGAGCCTCCAACTCATCGCTTCGCCTACAATTTTCTCCATCCCCGTGCAGAAAGACTCGAGATCCTTGCACTTAATTGGCACAGTGTCCCCATTTGGCCCGACCCTACTCCTCTTGCTGCGAGACACGATGAGCTCTCCAGCCTTGTACCCATTACCTGTTGCCACTGCGTAAAACAGTTCTACAAAGTTGCGCAGATCTTGTTGCTCGAGCTTTGTCACGATCCCGGCATCTATGACCACAACACCGGCATTTCGAATGGCTTGAGAGCGCGACATACGAGCGTTTCTTCCTCCGTCTTGCTCATCAAACAAAAGGTTGCCTGGATGTAAATCTCCGTGTGCGAAATTGTCTAGGAAAACCATTCGAAGATACGCTTCAAGCACGACTCGTGCCACTGCTTTACGACGTGGCGGTTCCATTGTAGAAAGAATCTCACTGAAATGCAATCCGCCTTCAAAACTCTCGACTAAAACATTTTCTGTCGTGTAGTTCATGAGGGGTACTGGAAACCGTAATCCTTTCCGATTACGGAAATGTTTGGTAAACAAAGCAAGGTTCTCTCCTTCCACACGCAAATTTAATTGACGTTCCATAAGTGACGCAAACTCCGTCACACTATCCTTTCCTCCTATCCATCTAAGCGTCGGTATAGCTTCCAACATGGCTACAAATCCATGTAAAAGTTGCAAATCCAGTGCTACCATTTGCTTGACATGTGGATGAATCACTTTAACTGCAACTTCTTCGTTTGTCTCTTTGATACGTGCTCGATACACTTGTGCAATGCATCCTGACCCGATAGGATGACTGTCAACCTCTAAAATTTCTCTCCAATTGTCACCAAATGCCATTCTCAAAGCATCTTGTGTCTGTAGCCACGAATGCATTGGCGCATGTTCATGGAACATCTCAAATCGATCACAGAATGAAGCTGGAAACATATCACGACGAGTACTTGCCCATTGCAAAAACTTCATCACTGTAGGAGAAGAATGTTGTGCAAGCCATAAAGCTAATTCCCACCATTGATTTGTTACTTTAGGCAATATCATACCAACTGAGAAAGCCACAGGAGCTGTGAGTGCTAATGGGAGTGCAAGACTTAATAATTTGGCGAAATGAAGCACCACACGTAGTAGACGACGTAGCATTTGTAGCAATGACTCCTTCTTAGTAGTAAGAGTAGAAGATGTAGCCAAAATATGAGGAAATTCACGCAACAACTCGGCGTTACGGCCTGTCCAGACATCGCGAGCTGCAAGAGCGTGAATCTTCAGACGGTGACGCGAGTGGACCACCACAAATTGGTGGGGAATAAGACGAGGCCATGTTATTCGTTGAGACTTGAGTACGGGGTACAATAGACGACGAGTTGCTGCATAGGAACGAGGAGACCTCAAGAAAAATTGCAGCGTCATTCTTCTGGTCGAATTATGAATGCACGCGACTATTCAATTTATTTAACGGTTGAGTGGACTACATCACATTCACGTCTTTGCTTAAGATGGTGTAATGTACACCACTGATCATGATGTGGGATACATCATTTGCATCTGGGAGCGTAAAAAGTCAACCCATTTTATAATGTTGCGAAATGTTGCGTGTGGACGGACGTCGGCGTGGCCAAACAATGATGTGCGTCCAGAGTTACAGACTTTATATGGACATATCCTTTGCTCTGCATTATTGTGGTTCCTCTATGGTCTTTGGGTCGTTGGATCATTGTTTTTCATGGGTCTGTGGCTCATCTCAGGCTTTTGTTTCACACATGCAGTCTTTAATGGAGTTTTTCATGGCAATTGGACAACACCATTGCCATTTGCAGTACAGTTAAATGTGCTTGTAATGGCTTTATATGAAGGATATCATTATATCACACGAGACACGCAACACACGTGGCCATTCATGCGACGTATAGCTCGCTATGTGTGTCAACACTTTCCCTACTTTCGTCTAAACGTTGTAGTGGTTGAAGCGCAACAGGAGAAGGACGATACGACTCGGCACTTAGATGCAAAGGATGCAATTGCAGTCGTTGAGGAGAACAAGAGAACTTCGTGTTTTGAGTCGAACAAGCACGCACTCTTTGCGTTTCATCCACATGGTGTCCTGTCTTGTGGTTTCTCGATCAATGGTGTACACCACGTGGCATTTGAACGTGCGGCTTGCCGTTGGATATCGGCTAAAGCTCTCTTTTTGTTTCCGATCATGCGTGATGTTTTACATTGGATGGAGTTTAGTAGTAGCACCAAGGAGAGTATGCAGAGGATCATGCGTACCGGTCAAAACTTGTGTTTGTTACCAGGAGGAATCGAAGAAGCAACGCTGTATCAACGAGGGAGACACCGCGTGTATATTAAGAAACGTCTTGGATTCATTAAGTTGGCCCTACAGCATGGCTACGACATTTACCCGGTATACACATTTGGTGAAGAGTACACTTATCATGCGTTTCCGCATCTGCAGTGGTTGCGATGCCAGCTGAACAGATTTCGGGTCCCCGGTGTCATCTTCTTTGGCAACCCTCTCTGTTTCTACTTGCCGCGCTCGGACGTGGATTTGATCACTGTCGTCGGAAAGCCATTACGTCTGCCTCATGTCGAAAATCCGAGCAAGGAAGTCATTATGGAATATCACGACAAGTACGTCGAAGCACTCCAAAGTCTTTTTGACTCGTACAAGGGAGTCTATGCCGTTGATCCTGACGCAAAACTAGAACTGTTCTGAGAAGAAAAGGTAGCGTGGGCGAAGACGAGCTAGTCGTGTTCAATGCAATAAAGCCTAATCGAGACATGCAAAAAACGCGTTCCACTTTCGGATCTCAACAACCAAGCTATCTTACATTAATGCTGTACTCTCCAGCAATCTTTTTGTTAATCAGGTCACGATGGACGGATATGGAGCTCTAACTATACTGATGTGGATGAAATGGAGGGCTGAGGTGGAATCGCATAAGAAACACGTTTTCGCTAAATCAGGCGAGCCAAGGCTCCTCGTGACCGCAACAAAAAGAAAAGCTCCGATTCCAGCGCAATTAATCGTATGAAAAGCAAACTGAAGCAGTTGTCGTGCGTGACGCAATATCTACGTAACTTCAGCTGTCGAAGAAGTATCTATTCATCTCCGAATACAAAAAAACCGAAGTTACGCGACCGATGAGCAGATCTTGCTTTACCTCTATGTAACGTATCAAGTCGTAGATAGGGGAGGAATGCTCTTCAACGTTTCGAGGCCGAAGTCACATACAACTTGCACCCATTTCGTTGTACCATTGCCGGTAGCTGCTGCTTTTAGCGTTAGCTCCAGCAACGACTCCACAAGCAGCTCCTTTAGCAACGTTAGCTTCAGCAATGACAGCGCCAGCAACTACAGGACCAGCAGTGGCTTTGTCTTTTCCACTGTCAACGTCTACTGCGCCTGCAACGGCAGCACCAGCAACGTCAGATCCAGTGCCAGCAAGTGACATACCAGCATCGGCAGCGGCAGCATTTGCAACGATAGTAGTAGTTAAAGTAGAGTCTAAAGAATATCGTGAGGTAGATCATGGAATTGAGTGCGACAAAGAGCAAGTAGAAGCACCAATATCAGCTTAGCGTCAATACCAGCAAGAGTAGTACCAGTGCCAGCACCAGCGTCAGTACCAGTAAATAAAGTACCACCATAAACGATGATCCATTGAATGGATCATTCCTAGCAGCAAGACAAATGCTTTATGCAACTTTCACCACAAGCAAGAAGGATGTCATCGCAACAGAGACGCCAACATCAGATCGGGTAGCAGCAATACGAGCAAAGTGAGTACAATCATTTCAAGAGCTGGGAGCAAGTTACGAAGTTATTGCATCTCAAGCTTTTATTGCAAGCTGATCGGTGGTAATCTACACGCGTCCCTAGATGTCGTAATCGAGACACCAGTTTGCTAGATCGATCACTCTGATCATTTATCGGTACCTCCTCGAAACAAGTGCTTGAATTGGATTCCGCATTTTGCTTAATGAGAATGAGTCCTTTACACAGCAGTGAACACACACTTTCAAGATCACGTACGTGTCTGCAAGCACAGTTCGACGCTTGTTCGTTTAGCAAGAATAAGAAACAAGTGAAGATAGCAACACCACAAACCAAAACGAAAAAAACTTACAAGTGCGGTTGGATTCTGAATGTGCAATTGCAGCCGTTGCAATCTGTACTTCAGATCACCAAAGTGTGAGCTACTAATACTCGGCACAAGTTGATGTGAAGTATGCTAACAGTGGATACGGAAGAAGATCGGAGACGAAATCTCTGTTGCTCCACCTGCCGTAAACCTCAAGAAACCCGGTGCTGTCTGTCCGATCTTTACTGCAGTTCCCAAGGACAGCTTTATAAGGTTTTCATCGGTCTTCTATGCCTTTCCTCTTTTTGGTATCTGCTTCCACCACTTTCTTTATAAGAGATACTGCGATATCAGCATCGCTGCCACTTGTGATGACCTCTGTCCAAAACCAGATGTATAGCATTTGCTACTGTGTTGAAATACTGACCGATTATACCTTTTACGAAAACGTGTGCCAATTCAATGCAAATATATTTGTCGTGAAGTGAGATGACCCAGCTTCACATTGTAAAATGTGCAGTCCGATACATGGCCCTCTTCTTTACCAAGTCAAGTCTAATATGACATCACAACATGCATTAGTCACTGTCCGATTCACTATCAGAAGAATCCTTTCGGCGACGAGCAGGCGATGGTGAGTGTGAAGAGGACGACGAACGTGAAGAGGACGGCGAGCGATGGCGGGATTCCGACGAAGAGCTGGATGGAGAACGACGAGAGCGGCGGCTACGATGGCAACATACCACAATCATAACGACAACAATACACATCGATAAATAGACAGCCACAAATAATTCCGAGAAAACATTCAATACCTGCTCTTTCGTCTCGATGACCTCCCACTACGTGCGGAACGTCGTTCGCGTATCCGGTCTGGCGATCGAGACGGCGATCTACAATACTCCACAACAACATATGCACAGTCAGAATCCCGATCGAGACAAACATCTTGATGTACCACTTACCGTCGACGTCGACGACGACGTTTCACAGACGGTGACCGTGATCTTCCACGTCTCAAAAATCGACCTCGTGGTAAACTACGCGACCGTCGTCGCTTTTGTGGACTAGGTGAGCGTCTACGTCTACGTAAACTCCTCGATCGTCCACGTGGACGTCGTTGCAAACTTCTAGACCGTCTTCTCTCCTCACGAGGTCCAAAAGAACTTCGTCGTTCAACTTTCACGACAGTCTCTTTCTGTTTCTCTTCTCGTCTATCGCCATCTCTACTCTGCCTCTGACTTTCCATCCTCTTGGCATCCAAAACCTTCTTTAGTTGATCCTTTTCTTCTGCAAGACGTTGCATTTCTCTCTTCTTCTTGTCCAAAATAGAGCTTGGAATACCCGTGGGATTACTCTGTGCACTAAGCAGCAGCTGCCACAACTCTTCCATAAACGTTCCTGCCTGTTTCTCAAGAAATCCTGTAAGTGCCATTTGCAGCTGTTTTGGGTCCAGTTTTTCATCTACTTTTGGTTCCAGTAAATTATTTGCCATAGCTACAACAATCTCGTCTTCAAAGCCCAGCAATTGTGTAATGCGTTCGGTAACCCATTGACTAATCACTTCACGCTGTACTTTATTCATATCTACATGTTGATTAAAACATAAAGGGAACGTCATCTTTGCCAGTAGCTTCTTCTCTTGCGTAAAATAACGCCCATCCTGAGCAGCATTTGTACCACGGATCGACATGCCTTCGTATTGATAAGAAATTAATTATGAAAGTATATAGACGTAATTTACTTCTGTGGTACAAAATATGAAGAGTATATGTAGTATAAGAGTATCGGTCGATGATATAAATTACGTGGTACGCGATTATTTACCATTGGGGTTTTAGTATTATTACCCAATCGAATCACTTTATACGTGCTGTCCAATCGATTCTTCTCACACTTTTGACCATCATGGACACTAAGAATGCTGTTCAGACACCACCTCTGGCTCTAAATGATGACGATAGCGAGAAAGAAGAGGTGAAAGTGATTGTAATGAATTATGGGAAATGGAAAGACGCCAAGGTGCTAAGTGACGTATTGCACTCGAAAGGTATTAACTTTTCTAAGGTCCAGAAGACCCGACAATTGTCATTTGGTTTCGTGCTTTTTCATTCCAAGGAAGAACGAGCTGAAGCGATGCCCAAATTGCAAGCAATTGAATGGAATGGAGAGATGTTGGAGGTGAAAGATGCACTGCCTAAGAAGAGTATGAAACCTATGCTTGTAAGGCAACACCGTAAGAAAGAAGAGAAGGAGAAGGACCAGGTTGACAAGAAAGAGGAGGAAGACGTATCGGCACGTGATGTACGCGACGTAGTGACTCCATGGGCTACTGTCCCGTATCAGGAACAGCTGGAACGCAAAGAAGCAGAGATGAAGAAGGTGCTGGTGAAGATTGTGCGTCAAACGAGGAAAGAGTTTGGCAAAAGGAGAAACGTGTGGCACAAGACCAACGCAATATTGCCAAGAAGAAACGAAAATTAGAGCACGAGAAACAGGAATATGAGACGAAAACGAAACAGGACACGGTCGTAGGGGTTTACACGGACGATGCAAAGCCACAGTACTCGTTGGCGATCCCCAAGTGGCTTAATAGCCATGGATCACTCTTTGTAGTGGCCAACGAGGTGCTGTACTCGCGTCCACATGAAGGAGATGTGTACACTAAATGGACGCGTGTGGCGGATGCTGCAGATGTAGTGGCGATCATATCGTTTGGCAGTAACTTGGTGGGTGTCAAAAAAGACAATATAATCTACGCTTTGAAGCCGAATTTGGCGTCGACTGATGGATTGTCATGGGAGAAGATCTGCAGCGGTCCTGACGGAGTGCAAATCACATCGCTTTCTTCGTTGCGTGGTACATTGCTTGGTTGCACTAGCGAAGGAAAAATTTACAAACAGGAGGGCATGGGTAGTTTTGCGTCTGGTGAATGGAAGCAGCTGGGTGAAGTCCCAGGTGCTACCGTGATTGGCCTCCACAATGGATTTTTGTACGCGCACAACCAGGCTTTAGAAAAAGAGATGTCTTGGTCGCGCGCTCCGCTTGACGCAAATGCGCTGGAGGTTTTAACTTTCGAGCCATGCGTCGTGCCCATGTCAAAGTCCTTCGGAATTACGTCACACAACACGCTGATAATTCTCCTAACGTCAGAAGCGATTGAGTTTGTGCAGAATAGTGGCCACGTGAAAGCCAGCGTACCTTTGCCAGCGGATCTGAAGGGAGGGAGTTTTACCGGATTTGCCAGCCACAAGGGATTATGTTGCCCGATGGAATCCATTCATTCCTCTCCTGTGACTGAAAGCTACCGCAATAAGTGTGAGTTTAGCTTTGGCTTCGACAACGAGGACAAGCCGTGCGTCGGTTTTCGCCTTGGTCTATTCCGTGAGGGCTCTGTGGTTGTCAGCAAGCCTAATGAATGCGTGAATGTACCAACTGAGATGAAGGCGGTGTGCGCTGTCGTACAGAACATTCTGGAGACGTCGGATATTCCCGTGTATAGTGTCACCACGAAAACGGGTGTGTGGCGTGTGCTGACAGTCCGCCAGAGTGTCAGTACGGGTGAACTCATGATCATGATGCAGGTGAACTCAGCAGGCCAGACATTAGAAGAGCGAGTTGCAGTCAGAGACCTGATCGTGAAGCGGCTCACTGACGACTGCAACTCTTTCAAGGTGACTTCCATCTACATGCAAGAATACAATGGCCTGTCAACTCCTTCGGATAACGATCCTGTAGAGCACGTTTTTGGAAAGACCAAGCTTGAGGAACACCTGCTGGGCATGCGGTTCTTAGTGTCTCCGAACGCCTTCTTTCAGGTTAACACGGGTGGGGCCGAGAAGTTGTATTCTCTGGTCAAAAAGTTCGCTAACGCAGACGAGCACACGTTGCTTTATGATGTGTGTTGCGGTACTGGTACAATCGGCATTTGTGCGTCAAAAGGAGTTGGCAAGGTTGTGGGAATTGAGATTTGCAAGCCTGCTACTGATGACGCCGAGGCAAACGCAATACTGAATGGCGTGAAGAATGTGAGCTTTATCAATTCAAAGGCGGAGGATGTGATGAAGGATCTGCTGCATAAGAAGCGCGAGGAGAGTGAGAAGCACCTGAACCGCGTCGTAGCCATCGTGGACCCGCCGCGAGCTGGTCTCCACCACCAAGTGCTGCGTGCACTTCGTGCGTGCCCACCGGTGGAGCGTATCGTGTATGTATCTTGCAATCCGACTGTCTCGCTAGTGCGAGACGCTGTAACGCTATGTGGTCCCAGCACCAAATCTCTCCAGGGTCGGGCCTTTGAGCCTGTGCATGCCGTCCCGGTTGATATGTTCCCCCACACACCGCACTGCGAGATGATCATTGTGTTCGATCGCGTTAAAGCTGAGTAGATAAAAATGGGATCAGCATTCTAATACCATTGCTCATTGTCGACTTTTCCTCACTGCTCTACATCTTCGAAGTCAGTCTCTACGAAGGGTGGAACTTCGTCCATCATCCGTGACTTGAAGGGCTTTATCGATCGTTTGACCGAAATATTTGCACCGTGAGTTAGCTCGCCGGATTTCTTCTTTGCTGCCGTGGCAGCTCCTTTGACAATTGCAGGCTTCTTGGGTGTCTTAGCCTTTGCAGCTTTATTCAAAGCGCGTAGCGTTTGCAAATCAGTGAGACCAGGCGTGAAAAGGGCGACGACCTGTGTGAAAAGCACACAAAGTCATCTTCTGTACTTAGGCACTGAGGCATGCCACTTGATTCAACAAGGCCATACCCGGTTGTACATTCGATTGCGTTCTTGGCGCTGATTGAGTGGTTTAAAATCCGGTTCGCTCATATGCTTTTTGTCTTCCGTCTTCAGCATTTGTCTGCCAAACGAAATATCAAATAGTCAACAATGCATACTCCACAAAGAACATGTAAAAGTACTCATGCCGGTAGTCATTTTCTTTGGAAACCCATTCGTCTTGTAGCTCCAACAGTGCATGCAGCATCGTGCCCAATTCTTTGTCCTTCGAAATTTCTGCAACACGGAGAAGAAACAGAGCAAAATGTTGAGCTCATGCGAGCATTTCTTAAGAGACCTTTCAATAACTGGAAACGAACGCTCTTTGATCAAATCAGCTGGCTCTGTTGCAGCCCGTACTCCGTACACAGCAATAATCTGAGTCAGTGTTTCAAGAGCACTATCCAGCTTCTCCTTCTTGTTTCTTGCTACATCTCGAGCTTCCAGCCGTAACATATTCGACTACAAAAAAAACAAATCGTAGCAACCAGCTCATCTCAGCAAGCCAAGTATTGCATCACTACCACTAATTACCTACAACACATCAAAACCTTTAGATATTGCTTTGTATACGGCAAGAAGGTCATGAGCGTAGCAAAGTATCCCGTCACACGCCACTTGTTCGGATGAGCTTCCACCACTAGCTTATCCACTGCACGTAGTGGTTCATCCAGCGATCTCGGGAAGACTTTTGGGATCGGCATCGTCTCGGCCACTACAGCATCAATAAAACAACACCACGTCATCACTCGCTTCTTCTTTCTCTCCAAAAAACCCTCCGTAACCATCCACTCACATTCCTGTACTGCTGTCCGTAGCACGTCCAGTCTCTTCACCACCTCCTTATCAGGCTGCCAATCACTGACAACATCTACAAAAACATTTCCTTCAGAAAAACTTTCCATGCTCCATCAAATTGTCGTCTTTGTACCTCGTTTACTCTTTCCCATTTTCTCTCCATTCTCTTCTTCTCCCTCTTTCTCCAACGTCTCAATCTCGTCTCCAGCACTCACAAAAAAGCCAGAATGTTTTGTCTTGACCTTTACTTGGTCCCTAACATCTTCAATGTTCTGCTGCAGCTCCACGTCATCAATAAAAGAGTCTTCTGAATCGTACAGATCATCGTCATCTCGACGGTCCAAAGTGCCGCCTACGTCGCTGCCGTCACCATCATTCAGCACAGAGCCGCCCCCATAACGTTTCTCCAAGTGTTCAATAATGTTAAAGCGCTGTGGGCGCGCTGTTGGCACCACACGCTCCGATTTTCCGATGGACGGCAAGGAATTAGACGTTGTGTTTGACGAGCTAATGCTGAGCATTGGAGACTCTGCTTGATTCGTACTTTGGATCATTAGCTCCTTAAAGTTAATCTCCGCTGGTACGTTGCTGTTTAAAGGTACGCGAAAGGTTGTACGTCGCGGATTGGGCGCAGGAAGCACCGCTATTTCCGGCGTACTTGGCATGGTCATTATTGTTTAAAAATGACGAGTTGGTGGTAAAAATGTACAGATTGTATGAAAACTGTGACGTGTGATTGATGGCAAAGTTGATGTTGAAGTTGACGTGGATAACGACTATATCACAAAGTCCAGTACTGCCCCGTCTGTGAAGAGCAGCAATACGTCTATTATAACATATGGATCGGTAATATTCCTAGAAAAATAATACTACAGCTATGCAGAGAAATAAATCCTTGTGCTCAAATGGAATGCATCACTTCGCCGCGCATCTTACGGACTCGAGATTTCCACCGTGGCGTTTTCACCGTAATAGAACTCGTAAAACAGCTCCATCAGTGGTGGTTTGACATAATGAAAACTAATTGAGTCAGGCGCGCAGCACTTGTCTCCATTTTGCCATCCAATTCCATTATGGTCGGAAAACCAATTATTTTCCTGGTAAATCGACGTAAAAATTTTGTGGTTGTATGCTTCTTCATCATGTGATCTCGTGTACACATCATTGGGGTCATACTGATGAAACCTCTCTCTCTTTTCTTCATCTCTTGTATCCAATGGTATCACTCCAAAATGCCGCATACAGAACGAAATGGCCCAGTCATCTCCAACCACATCATTTGGGAAGCAAAACGGTTCATTAAAACTCGCATCTAACTTTTTCAAATACGCCCAATTCATGGCATATCCTCCACCTCCAGGAGTATAAATTAATCCTCCGTTTTCTTTCGTCTCATCTTTGACTTTTAGCATTGCCGTCACATGTTCAGGATCATAATTTTCAAAAGGTTCAAATGGACGTTGCATTTCCCACCATGGTAAGGTCATCCGATGTCCCAAAATAGTTGGTTCACTTTTCGGAATTGCTCGAATTTTTGGCGAATTAAGGAAAGTTTTAAGGTTTTCCATAATTACAAATGTATCGTCGTCACATTTAAAAATCCAGTCAAATTCGTCTTCACGATATTCCTTCACTAAGAGCCGCACAATCTCCCAGTGCTTTTGCCACAACATTTCATGCAATGGTGGGGCCACTATTTGCACTGTAGGGATACGTAAATCTTCCACGTTACTTAGAAACAACAACTTGTCACACTTTTTGCCCCACGTTCGCTTGATGGCAGGCAGGCGCGTGTCGTGATTAGCGTAATATGTGCTGACCCAGCAAAGTATACGCGTCTTGGATGTTTCCAATGACATCCGAGACACATTTACGAGCTTCATAGCAGGAACATGGTTCCCCAGTCGAGCAAGGAGCTGTGCACTGTGGTTGGAAGTAGTGTAAGGGGTAAAGAGAGTGAGGAGCAGCACAACAAGAAGGAACTGGTTTAGCATTGTTTTAAGGGACGTAAGGGATGATTTTAAGGGGCAAGTTTGGATCAATTACCTCTAGAAACCGATATAGCTACATAAAAATAGATGTTGAAGTTATCGTTTAGTAAGCTAACTAAAGACTAAGGCCAGTATAACGACCTCCAAACGTACGTCATCAGTATAAGATATGTATTGTGGCTTTAATTTACATTACCAAATGATAGTTATGAATGTGCATAACTAAACACATCTAATAATTTTATAATAATAAATTAAATTTTACTAGAAATAACTCTTAAACCATTGTTTTACAATGGTTTAAGAGTTATTTTTAATACAGCGTCAATTATTAAGGGCATTTTGACCAACAAACCTTATTTTAACCAAAGCAAGACCAAAAGACTTGTACAGAATGTCAAAAGAAAATTATAAGAAGTTAAAAGAGTGGACTAATCGGATTTTGGGCGATAAGTAGTGTGCTGTTGCATGTATGCTGCTCACATAAACTTGGAGCTAGTGACGTCAAACGGGTTCTTTTTCTCCAGTGTCTTGCCTGTCTGAAGTTTGCTAGGACCAAGTAGATACTCGAGCGAGAATTTGTCCATGACGCGCTGCTGGGGCGTCGTCGTCGGCTTCTTGTACACCTTCAATAACCGGTTACTCGATACGACGAATGGATCTTCCCGTCGTTTAGTGAAGCCAAGTTAAACTTTTTCATAAGCTTCGGGTCTTGGCGACGACGTAGTGCAGCGGCAGCGAATGATGTTAAACGGGAAGACATCGTTTATTCAGCGCTAATTAAAGAATGAAGGGGGTTGTGAAACTCGGGAAACGGAATATTAAGGTCATTAATATTGCGATCATTTGGTTCAAATTAAAGCGTAAAGATCATATTATAAAGGGTTGAACTTTGGTCACGTGCACTCATTTGAGATGGCTTCATAGTTTTTAGCTTCTTCAATATAGTGCTTAGGTGTTCCGTACTCACATCAATCAGCTTCTAGTCACCTTCACTTAAAGTTTCATGCGACCTCTAGATTGCTCGAAAGAGGTGCTTCAGTTGACATACACCCACTTCTTCTTGTGCCTGCAATCGTGGTCTTGAGCAATCAAATTTACACCTCAAAATTTGTCACGTTTTTGTATGATTCACATGTCGAATTCCGACAGCTACAACGTCACTTTACAATCGACAGAAAGAATGTCTATAGTAACATCCTTCTTGTCTCTATCTAAAAGGTCTGTGTCGCTTTCTTCCATCCACGTACTAGTAGCGCCATATAAATTGTTACGATACACCATCAAGTTCAGCACTCTATCTACCTCCGGCTATCAGTATGCAACTCTTAATCATGCGGTCGATTGTCATATTGAAGTATTACGTGTTTAACTATATCACCGAATGCGCTTAGTAAGATTTTGGTCAACTTTCAACTCTCGACAATCACGGAGTCTACAATGACCTTTTACCGAGCAGCTCTACTGTTTGCAAGTTCTTTAACAATGTTGTTCAAATCGGTGTAGGAAGAACACGCACGACAAGAAATCGGACCTGAGTGTTTGTTTATGACGTATGGCCCACAAAGCTCCAAAGGCAGCAAGAATTTTAGGTTCATTGCGTGCGGGCTACATACTATTAAAAGACTTGGTATCAAGCAGATGGGTAAGATTTTGTGGTTTTTCATCCTCCCATCTTCGTCTTTTCTAATCAAATTTTCATTAGTGTTCTTTAAGAACATCGTTGATCTTTTTTCTTCTAGATTTTCTGGTCAGAAGTCTACAGTGCAAAGTCTTTGATACTACCGAATAGATATGAAGGGCCACGATCTTTTTATCATGGAGATCGTTCAACTTACAATCACTTTTGCCCAGTCCAAGCGATGTCTCGTGTGAATGAGTTTACACCCCTCCTTGTCAATGACAAAATCCAGTCGCGTCCTCAACACCATCGTAGTGTATGGCAATTTGTATTGGCGGGTGCATTGAGTCTTGGCATCTTGAGTCTCTTTCGGCAGCAGAATTCGGTTCCTCTGGAGATTGCTGACGTCACTGTGTCATTTAACGAGGATAAAGCTATCACGGATGACGCGTCTGACGTAGCATTTTTGTCCAGTACGGAGACCTTCAAGGACCCTTCGGTGGACCCTTGTGTTGACTTTTATGATTACGCATGTGGTGGTTGGCTCAAAAGTCATGAAATTCCATCGGACCGTCCAAATATTGACTCGTCCTTTTACGTCGTCTCGGAAACCAACAAGGACACAATTCAGCAAATTCTTGACCAAAATCCGCCTCAAATAGGACAATTCTACCACTCATGTCTCAGTGATGAGGAGGTGGACGCTAATGCTCTTGCCTTTGTCACTCAATTGGTGAATAACGTCCATCAAGCCAATTCCATTCTCGCTTTGATGGAGTTGGCAGGTGGAATGGACCAAAGTCTAGGAATCAGTACATTCTTCAGTGTGTTCGTAGGTGCAGACTCTCAAGATCCAACTACAAACGTCCTTAAACTATCTCAAGGAGGACTCACATTGCCATCCAGAGAGTACTACTTGGAACAAAGCAAAGTGGACGCTTATGCAGCTCTCTATATAGATTACGTGACCAAATTGTTTGCAGTGGGAGAACTAGACCATCAAAATGTCAGTGAGTTTGCAGAGGCTGTGCTGGAGATTGAGACGACTTTTGCCAATATTTCTCTACCGAATACAGCGTTGCGTGACCTGGAGACAACCAACATGGCGTACTCATTTGCGGAAATTGCTCAGAGATATCCCTTCTTAATGGCCTATTTGAATGGGATATACAAGAAGGAACCATTCCCGATGCTCCACGCGATTATTGCAACACCGAACTTTTTTGAGGCACAGAACCAATTTTTGAGCGATGACGCACTGCTACCGCAGCTGAAAAAGTATCTAAGTTTCCATGTGATTGACTCATTTGGTACACTTCTGGGCGAATACTTCCGCCGTGTAAGTCACGACTTCCATGGCAAAATCCTAGGCACAGGAAATCTTCTTCCGCGGAATCAATATTGCATGCAGGTGACAACGGCGTTCCTCGGAGATGAAGTGGGAAAATACTATATGCAAGATGTGTTCGGTCCTGACGCAAAAAAGGCGGCTGAGTCCCTGGTGGAGGAAATCGAGGAGTCTTTAAAAGCCTTGCTGCTAACGGAAGCATGGCTAGATAAAATCACGTATGACGCAGCTGTTGAAAAGCTGAGCAAGGTCAAGAATTACATTGGCGGACCAGATGATGTGCCCCCGCTGCCGTTTGAGCTCCAAGCTGACGCGTTTTTTGACAACGTAAAAAGGTTGTTGCAGCTGGGTTCGTCAAAAGCAATACAATCTGTCGGCAAGCCAGTAGATGAGAAAGCTTGGGAAATGTCCGCTTCCACCGTCAACGCTTACTACGATCCGAGTGCAAACAAGATGGTCTTCCCTGCAGCAATCCTGCAGCCACCATTCTATAGTGCTGAGCACTTTCCTGCTGCAGCAAACTTTGCTCGTATTGGAATGCTGATGGGCCACGAGCTTTCACATGGATTCGACGACCAAGGACGGAAATATGACGGCAATGGAGCTCTTCGTTCCTGGTGGACTCCATCGGTATCAGCCGAGTTTATCGAGAAAGCACAATGCTTGGCAGCTCAGTACTCAGCGTTCCCGGTTGTTTCTATTGAAGACGGACGCGTACTTGGTAATGTGAATGGCAACTTGACGCTAGGAGAAAACATAGCTGACAATGGTGGTATTCGTCTTGCATACGAGGCGTATCATCTCTGGAAAAGAACGTTCTTACCTCCACCCATCGAACCATCCTCTGAGATTCAACCGGAGGCAACCAATCCAGACCCGGCAACTGCATCCCCATCAGACGATCAAGCACCGGAGCAAACACCTCCTGTCCCCAGCAAGGAGATTCCAGCAGCCCCAGTCGTCCCTGTACCGAGTGAAACTGGTCCAGATAAGCCTATTCCTGTAGAGACGTTGCCTCCTCCCGTCCTCCCAGTCCCCAAAGCCGAAGCACCGGAAGTACCGCAAGCTGGGCCTGATGGTGGAACGCCTGGTGGCAGTCCACCCCAACCGACGGTCGTGCCGGAACCTCAACCAGCGAACATTCCTCAAGAAATTAATCCTGTACCTGAAGTTCCTACTCCGGTGAAGAAAACACCTGCACTTCCTGGAAAAGAGTCTGCCACGGAGGCACCGATAGTGACGCCAGACTCATCGACGCCGCCACCTGACTTATCGAACACGCCGCCGACGTTGCCTGACGCACCTGACACACCAAATCCATCTAATGGCTCAACGCCGTCGACGTTGCCTGACGTGCCTAAACCGCCAAGTCCACCTAATGGCCCAACACCGCCGTTGCCCGACACACCTGACACGCCAAGTCCACCTAATGGCTCAACACCGCCGTTGCCCGACACACCTGACACGCCAGCTCCACCTAATGGCTCAACACCGCCGTTGCCCGACACACCTGACACGCCAGCTCCACCTAATGACTCAGCACCGCCAACGCTGCCTGACGCACCTGACTCGCCAGCTCCACCTAATGGCTCAACACCGCCGTTGCCTGACATACCTGACACGCCAGCTCCACCTAATGGCTTGACACCGCCGTTGCCTGACGTACCTGACACGCCAAGTTCACCTAATGGATCAACACCGCCGACGTTGCCATACGTGACTAATCCGCCAATTCCGCCTAATGATTCAACACCGCCGACGCTTCCTGACGCACCTATCAGCCAATTTCACCTGATGGCTCCACACCGCCAACGCTGCCTGACGCACCCGATACGCCAAGTCCGTCTAATACACCAACACCATTTAAAGTTCCAAGTGTTGTGCCGCAGCCAGGCCCAAGCATTGTCTCACCCGACAAGACTAGCAAGCACAAACACAAGAAGGAAGAAGATGAGCCTTCAGCAGAGCCCGAGAAAAAGGATCATACTGAAATACAGAAGCATCATGAGAGTGGATCGGAGAAGTCTGGTAAACACAACGATAGCGAGCGAGAGGACGACCGTGACAAGGACGTGCACAACGATCACGAACGTAATGAAGGTCACCACCGCGACGAAGAGAAGGGCGATGGGCTAGGTGATTATCGCCACAAAGGTTCACACCATAGCCACAAGACGAAAGACATTTATAAGAATGAGAGCAAAAAGGACCATCATGCGAAGCACAGTAATGAAGACGGCGAAGAGAGTGACAAGCATATGCACCACAAGCATGAAAGCAAGAAAGAACGTCGTGAAGCTCGCAAGAAAGAAAAGAAAGAAAGCCGCCGTCATGAAAAAGAGAAGCATCATCACCATCATGACAAGGTCTACGAAGAGAACCACAAGGCGAGACATGCTGAAAAAAAGCATCATCGCCACGAAGAATGGTCGGAAGAATGCGGTGATTGCGGGCGAAAGGAGTATCATGGACACCACTACAAGCATGAAGAAGACAAGGACATAATCAGCCATGGGTGTGGCAAGGGAGAGGCCGACTGTGGATCCAAACGGCACAAATGGACGCTGTCAGAGAGCAAATATCCGTTTTCTGGCGGCGACGCTCGGATCCAGAGTATGGTGAAGAAGCTGGCACGTGCATTTGCACAACCTGACGATTCTGTGGCAGATGACCGTCTGTTTTTTACGGCGTTTGCCCAGAATTGGTGTGAGAAGCGAACACCCGGATACGCAGAGCTATTGCGAACGATTGATACTCATTCGCCCGGCAAGTGGCGTGTGAACGGTCCGTTGATGAATTACGCCAAGTTTGCCGAGGTCTTTTCATGCCCCGTGGGGACACCGATGAATCCAGCGAAGAAGTGCGTCATTTGGTAAGGAATTATGAGGAAGAGCCACTCTGAAAAAGAATTTTGACGTAAATCAAGACAAGCAAGAAACAAAGATGGCAGCATTACCAAAAGAAAAGTGTTGATATTGCGTTAAGAGAGAAATGAAATTAACACAACTATGCGACTTGAAAAATGCTAAATGAAGTTGGTATCAAGTGGATACTTGCATATTGATCATGTGTCTGCTTTCGCAGGATACTATTTGCTGTACCACTTCTTCGGAGATATTAATTGCTCGCCTTATAGCCAAAGTAAAAGTATTATACTAACAATCTTCCTAGGTAGCGTTTACATTTATTTAAGAGTTCTTGAATATTATTACATGGATGTATCCCCGCGGGTGACAATTGCTGATAAAGCGACTAAAAGTGGTGGTGATGTAACGGGCTAAAGTCTATGGTTACATGTACGTTATTACGTAACACTTCACGGGGGGGGGGGGGGTCATAAGTACGTGTGTACTTAGACCTGCTACTTACACCGCACAAGGTTTATATTGTAACGGGGTTACACGACGGTTGTAACGTCATTCTCAAAGTTTACGGTTGAAGTTTCCTCTATTGCATATAATGTATTCTTGATACTTTGCTTTAGAAAGGTATTAAGTATGAGCGTTAAGATACGGTATTCGGTAATACCGTATCCTATTCGATAATCGTACCCTAGGTACATCATACACAGATGTATAGACGATACATCGTACTAGGTACATCATACACAGATGTATAGACGATACATCGTCCAATAGCAAAGTCTACATATTATGATTACTGTTATAGTAATTAATTTAGTGTAGTGTACTTAGAGTAGGACTATTCATAAAATCTTAATGCATAAATAAAATCAGTTCTCCTTTTGAGTTTAAGATCGCAAGTCGTTCTGACTTGTTCTCTTGTGCGTTTCGCGCGTTGGTTCTCTGAGCCGTTAAGCTTCTAGCTTTTTTGTACTCGGTGCGTTGGTTCTCTGAACCTTAAGCTTATTGCTTGCTGACTAAATCTCTCTCCTAGTTCCTTAGAAGAGGGTGACTTTAAAGTCGTTTAATTAGTTCCTTAGAACTAAGTGGCTTTTATCCTTAACTCTATTTAGTTCTCTAGAACTAAGAGGCTTCCAGCCGAAAAATCTTCCTCTGGCTAAAGAGCTGTGCAGCTCCGCTACACTTGGTAGCACTTGGTGTCAATCCACACCTGAGTCTTTAAAGACTGACCCTCTGTGAGGATGGAGAATCAAAATCACCTCTCTGAGGCGCAACGACTCGCCCTAGATAAACTATCTGCGTTCGTTGGGCCCGATCGTATCGAGGTTCTTTTGGCCCGGAGGTCCTCAATGCTCGCCTTGAGGCCTTCAAGCGTTATGAGACAACGCTACTCGGGCAGGTCCACAACCAGGCAGCGTCAGCTGCGCCTACAAAGTATATCCCGGTACCTGTGCCCGATGCAGAGCCAAATTACCCTCGAAGGTCTTTACATTTAAAACAAGGCTCGCCCACTTGTTTTAAATGTAAAGAACTTCGACGGTAAGGAGGGAGAAAATCTTTTCTTCTGGATCCGAGAAGTTGAAATGGCAACGGATGCAGCCATGCTTGTTTCAGATAAGCAACGAGTTGGCCTGGCCATTTCGAAGCTCGGTGGAAGAGCTAGAGAGTGGGCTCTAACGAGCGATGTCTCTGTAAATGCTGCATTTCCCACATGGGAAATGCTTAAAAAGGCAATTAACTTGCGTGTTTGCACCGCCTAATCAGGCTTATCGTGTGCGCTCACGCTTCCTAGCTACCCGACAGGGTAAGAAAGAATTGTCGGACTATGTCCAAGAGTTGAGAACTCCCATTGCTGCTATGCAGCAGGACCCACTGGCAGAGGAAGTCGGAGTAACCATATTTATGGAAGGACTTCGTACTGGGGTCGCTAGGACGGAAGTTTTCCGTGTCCAGCCTTCGACTTTTCAGGAGGCAGTAAGCATAGCGTTTAACGCTAGATTTAATCTTAAGTCTGCTCGATATGGTCTGCCCTGGTATTAATCAAATACCTCTAACAGGGCGGAACCCATGGATCTCAGTCAAGCTGAAGAAGCTGAGTTTCAAGCTGCTGAGCAGCAAGGTAACATCCGTAGATGTTAAATGTGCGGAAGCACTAGGCACCTCCGCTATAGCCGTCCGTTGCGAAAGCAACGTTCAAATCGGTAGAGCCGAAACCCTGCTCCTAGCCAAAAGGCGAGCACAGCAGGGGAAACCGTCAACTCCCAGTAGGCACGGGGCGCCCTACTGGGAAAGAACTAAGTTCTGTTGAACATCTAAGAGGTAGAGGTAAACAGGCCTTAGTCCCAAGTGACTCCGTGATAGCTTTTATGGAGCAGGAATACTAGTCAGGCTCGTTGGTTGAGTCGGCATCCGTTAAGGGTTTTGAGAAACCATGGTCAATTTTAATTGACTCAGGGGCGTCAGGTAATAAGGTCTGACGTCGTTTCCTTGAAGGAAGTCATCTGTATGCTGAAGCTATAGAAACGCAGGAGGGTGACAGTATAACCGTGCGTCTCGCAACAGGTGTACGTGTCACCGTTTCTAAAGTTCCGTTAAACTTAGGTGTAAAGTTCTTAGACTTCAATAGCGTTAAACGCTGTCTTGTCCTTGATTTGGACTCGAGATATGATCTCATTTTTGGTATGGCCTGGCTGAACCGCCATGAGCCATGGATCGATTGGAGATCCAATACCTTAGGCGCAACGTGCAACGTGCAATGTTCCTAGCGAAGCTTTAGAGAGTCATGAATCCACCTTCGCTAGGAAACAGAAGTGCTATTGGCGCGAGACATTAACTGATTCAGTTAGTGTGCTGGACATTGGAGTGTCTGAGTTGATAAACTTCAATGTCAATAATTATAGTGTCGAGCAGAGCTCAGTGACACCTAGTAGAACGCACGTACTCCGTTGAGTGATACTCAAAGTAATATTGAGACACTGGATGTCGATAATGACATCGGCTCTTGTATAGAGCACGTGAAGGTCGATGACCTTGTTAGTGATATTGGCTGTAAATGCGATTCACTGGATGTCGATAATGACATCGGCTCTCGTATAGAGCAAGTGAAGGTCGATGACCTTGTTAGTTAAATTATCTGTAAATGCGATTCGCTTGATGTCAATACTGACATCGGCCCTCGCATAGTGCAGGTGAATGACAAGGGGTCTGTTGACCTTGGGGATGATGGTATTACAAGTACTTTGAAGAGTACGGTCTCGTCAATGAGACGGCAGCATCGCCAGATGGCGGCTGCGAGACGCAAAGCGTCTGTTTTATCGCGTAGTAATATCAGTGACCAGCTATACACCCTGGTCAACAGTGACAGGTGATGTAGAGGTGAGGTTGACCTTGAGGCCCTCCCATCATTAAATGCTCTCTTATAGCTGGACAAAATATTTTGTGGACGATTTCATCAAGCTTTGAAGGTTGGTGATCTATCCGATATAGTGGTCATTCGATCTAACCTCGAGTTGAACTCATTCTCACTTGTCGAAGAGGCAGTCCTTGAAGATACAAAAGCGGCACTTATTGCACGTAGTGGATCATCTATCTTGAAGGACCCTTCAGATCCCTACTATCCTTTAGTAAAGGAATTTCCAGGACGTGGTGTGTCACGATCCACCGTCGGTTCTACCACCTGATAGGGGTGTACGGCATGAAATTGACTTGGTTCCCGGAACCAAATACTGTGCAACACGGCAGTGGCCTTTACCCAAAGAACAGTGTAACGTCATTGACGAGTTCTTTCTTGCAAAGCACGCGGCGGTCATGGTGCGCGAGAGCAACATTGTGCACTCGACACCCACTTTCTGTGTCAAGAAACCGAATGGTAAGTGGCATATTGTTCACGCTTATAATAAACTCGATACGGCCACTCTTCCTGCACAGACGCCAATACCTAGAAAGGATGTTTCCCCAGGAAAAGTATGGTCGGTTGTACTACGTATAGCGCATTCGACTTGATTGACGGTACTTCCAACTGCTCATGCGAGTTAGTGATATTCCGCTCGCTGCGGTTAGTACTCCGAGCGGTATGTTCTGGGAGTGGTTGGTGATGTTTTAGGGGATTTCGAATGCTCCGGCTCGTTTAACCGTTTGGTGACGCAATTGTTTCGACCCCATCGAAGTTATGCACAGACGTACTTTGATGACATTTTTGTCCATAGTCGAGCTGAACATGGGCGGTCGGATACCGAAAACCATATTTTTCATTTACGAGTTGTGCTCGAGTGCATGCGCACTAATAAACTATATGCTAATGCATCGAAGTGCATCTTCGGGGCCGAAGAAATGTACTTTTTAGGGTGCTTCATTGGGAAGCGAGGCCTAAGTGTGGATCCCGCCAAGGTCAAAGCCATAGTCGATTGGCCTATTCCACAGTCTTAGAAGGACTTGCGTAAATGGCTTGGCCTTGCCAATTACTTACACAAGTACAGCGAGAATTACGCTGATATGGCTCGGCCGTTATCCAATCTCCTTAAAAAGGATGTAAAATGGTGTTGGCATGCCGAACACGAGGACAATTTTCAAGCGGTGAAGGCGAGCCTTCTACATGCTCCTATTTTGGCTTTGCCAGACCCTGACCGACCGTTTAGAGTCGTCTGTGACGCATCGGATTTTGCCATTGGCAGTGCTCTGTTACAAACAGATGATGAAGGCCGTGAGCGTGTGATCGCTTTTGAATCTCGCCAGCTGAAAGCTGCAGAAAAGAACTATCCAGTTCAGGACAAAGAGCTACTTGCGATGAAGTATGCCCTGGTCAAATTCAGAGTTCATCTGCTGGGCTCAAAGCCTTTTGTGATCTATACTGATCATGCGTCGTTACGCACTGCAACTCATTCGCCACATCTCTCGCAGAGAATGGCCAGATGGCTGTCATTCTTTGCCGAATATAACTTCGAGGTGAAATATAAGCCGGGTAAGCAAAATGCTTTGGCTGATGCGTTGTCACGCAGACCTGACTATGAGCTTGC